AAAACCTATTAACACGTTGACTGCCACGCTAACTGTTGTGAACATTTGTTTGAGGTTAAAATTTTGTTAAAACTTAAAATTATTGGAAACTACATAATTCAAGATTTGTATTTGTTGTTACAACCTCATCAGAATTCGGAAATCTAATCCGGATTCATTTTCTGTAACACCTCATCTTCAGAAATTTCATCTTCGGTTTTTTAAATTCCTAGTGAAAAGTCCTGTTACCCATGTATGGTGGTCAACGTGTTAATCCTTTCGACCCTAGTGGAATATATATGTATGTCCCAGACTGGAGAAAACCCTAGGCTTCGAATAAATCTGAAGTTTGCCGATGCGTTTGTTTCGTTTCCTTCTTTGGCAAATGTTCAAAAGAGGAAACGAGATAAACATATCGACACACTTCAGATTTATTCGAAGCCTAGGGTTTTGCCCGTCACTGGTCCCAGTAAATATGTCCGATTGCCTTTCGCCAAATTACAAGTGAGATTTACAACCTTATTCATGAAAGTATAAGATAAGTGCACTTATCGCGAACAAAATTTAAATCACGGAGGCAAATTTTCTCTTCTTATTTGGCAACAACCTTTGATACATACTCTCCCCTAGTTTAGTACAATTCATTTATAAAAGAGAAACGAACAGAATAAAAACAAAAAAAAGTCGGGTTAAAATGGTTAATATGCAATCCGTTGGTAAAGTGTTAAGATTCCTGATTAGGTGCTCAATTTCAATCCTTTGCACTCGAAGCGTCGGTAGTCTACTTCAAAGGATTTTTTTCGTAGATTTCTTACTTACGAAAAAATTATGAAAGTATCTTAGATTACGCGAGTCTTTGATCAAATTATAAATTTCTATTCGTCGAATAATGTATTTATTTTATTATTTATAAGTAGAACGCCTCTTAGGAGTGCAGAGGGTTAACCCTTTGCGATTCGAAGTTTCTGATTTTGGTATATACTGTCAAGCCTCGCTCGACACTGTTCTCTGCGATCGATCAGAAGAGAGGTTAGTCCGTTTAGAAAGATTGGTAAATTGAAATTTAAAGTTGAAGTTTAAAGGGATATGCCTACCTAGGAGAATTCAAAATAGACATATATTTGAAAATTTGTTGGGAAAAAATTTTTTTACTTTGTTTTGCAAACGTTCGTTTACCGTAATAAGCATTCTCCGATGAAGCTTCAGTAATTTTTTCGATACCATCGATGCTATTAATTCGATACTATAACTTTGTTTAATACTATATTAGTTTATCTAGTCTTTATCGAGCCGAATTTTTGAAAAATTTTGAAAAACTTTTCTATTTTGTTTTGCAAACGTTCGTTTAACGTAATAAGCTTACTTCGACGAAGCTTCAGTAATTTTTTCGATACCATCGATGCTATTAATTCGATACTATAACTTTGTTTAATACTATATTAGTTTATCTAGTCTTTGTCGAGTCGAATTTTTGAAGAATTAATATCTATTTGCCAAAATAATGACACGGACTTCAGCATACAAACATGGCAACATCTTACATGTAGACTCGCTTCAGGATGCTTTTCAAATTGAATTGCGCGCGTAATTAGGTATTTCATTTGACAGCGCCATTTGTCAGATGCATTCTTCTGCCGGGCGTACTGTACCTGCCAAGGGACGATTATCGCAAAAAGCTAACCTCCCTACGACTGCGCAGTAGAACGCACTCTGTTTTTCTTTCAAGAAATCTGTTGTAAAATTATTCTTACCCATCTTTTCGTTGCTCAAATCCTAATAGGAACGAATTAAGTAAAAGCGTCGATATTCGAGGAGATCATGATAGATCATAGACGAGTATGATCGGCTTGCAAAGATTTTTTTCTTACTTTAACAATCATGATTTTAGTTTAATCTGTGTCCTCTTGAGACGCTTAGTAGCGATAGCAGTAGTAGTATTATTTATTTTATTTATTGACAATGACGTTTCTATCGAGAGTCATTCATGGCACGTCGAACAGCATGGTGGATTAGTATAATCCACGGACATAGGATTATAAGGACCGGCCATAGGCCGGCAAAGGAGGCCCGTCGGCTATCTTACGTTGCCAATTTACAGCGGGAAGTTTAAACAGGACTATAATTGAAAACATGGTCATATGTTTGAAAATGAATTTTTAGAACTTCAACACTTTGAATATCTAATTTTTTGTTATAGTTTGTTGCTTTTTGTAATCTATCAATGGTACAATGTATCTATGACTTTCTCTTGAAAAACTGGTCGAGTAACTAAGCAACTACTTGACATGTAAGTGTGATTGTTTAAATAAAAATGAATTACTTTTTGTAATCTACCAATAGTACAATGTATCTATGACTTTCTTTTGAAAAACTGTTCGAGTAACTAAGCAACTACTTGACATGTAAGTGCGATTGTTTAAATAAAAATGAATTACTTTTTGTAATCTACCAATAGTACAATGTATCTATGACTTTCTTTTGAAAAACTGTTCGAGTAACTAAGCAACTACTTTACATGTAAGTGTGATTGTTTAAATAAAAAAAGGAATCCACTTATATCAATTGCTGGAACATGAGAATGAAATTTTAAGAGTATATTAGGTATGAGAATGAATATAAAACCATATTTATTATAAATACAGTTTCTTGGTTTTTGAAATGAACAAGTTTAGTGTACATATGTCGAATTTTTCACGGATGCAATAACTTTCGCTTGCGATTACTCTGGATTATTCTGGAAACTGCTTCTAACGATAAATGAATGAGGTTCTTGTCAGAAACCAGAAAATGGGGGATGCGCGTTTAGTCATAGACTATAGACTCTATACAGATGTCTAACAGTCTCATGAATTCGCAATGGCAACGTAATATGGCGGACATGGCTTCACGCCGGGTTCTGGTATGCCCGGTCCCTATATTCCTATGTCCGTGGTATAATTGCTCTCCTTGTAGCTTTCACTACGCGCTCTTCTTTGTTCCGATGAAGTTTACACGAGTCTCAGTTGCACCTAGTGTAACTGTTAAAGGGGATTCCCGTCTAGGGAATACGTCTAGGGAAGTTTAATACAACAACAATAAGTGAAATTTGTTGGCTATCAAACTTTGTATATATACACATACGTTGTAATGTTCACCGGGTGGAGACTTAATACATAGCTAAAGGATTCGAAACTTGTGTAAGCGTCGTTGAATACGCAAATAATGGGAGAAAAGCAACGAGACGAAGAATTCAAAGTACCTTTTCCAGCTGTATACCTATTTCTATTCGAATCATGTTCATCTACCCACGATTTCGTTTGTTATTCTACTTCGCTGTGGAAGATGTGCCACGAAGTTGAAAAAAATAACGAAAAGGTACTTTGTCAATGTGAAATAGACGGCTCTGTAAACGCCTCGGCTTGGTGAGTTCGCGCCACGTATTTTTTATTCTACCCTTTCTCCATCCATTTGTCGACTGATCATCGAACGAACGAGGAGTAGAGAGAGATTCCGTGTGTTTGTACGTTTGAATGAATGAAAGAGAGCTATATAAATTGGAGAATATCATTAATTCGCAGAATAAGCAATGCCGTGACTGGCCACTTTAGTTCTTTCCAGTATAATTCCTCCGTTTCAGAGATTTACTTCCTTGCTTCCATCCTTTCCTTTACGAGACACGTAGAGCCTCGACACCTTCTTATTTATTCACTGGAGAGTATTGCTCGGTTGGTTTCGCATGTTAATTCCAACGATAGAGAAGTATTTTGATCTGGACCTCGGTGGCCAATGCTGGCATTGCTTATTGTGGAGAATTAAAATATTTCTGTTTAAAAAGAAGCTTTTGTACAGAGACATTGTCCGTTCTGGATTGCAAAATACAGATAACTTATTGCTTTATAAAAAAAACAACTGTGTCTTGATTTTTATTTCCGCTACCATCGAACCGATTCCATGTGTTTGTCCAGGTACTCGAGGCAACGCGTGATCCGGAGGATAAGCTCTCTTTTCCTTTCCCTCGATAAACAAACACTCCACTTTATAAATAATTTTTCTTACACCCAAAAGATCGATTGGATCATGGAAATACTCTCCTCATTCGAAACGCATCGCTCAGTCAGATAACGGCTTTGTAATCTCTCTATACAGGGTGTCCCAGAATTAGTGTAAGAACCGGAAATGGGAAAGGGGGTAGCTGAGACGATTCTGAACTATACAGGGTGTCCCAAAAATGTTGTAATACCTTGAAAAGGATGGTTCAGGGAGTGATTTGAAACAACTTTTTCCTTAGCGAAAATGTTGTCCGAAGCTTCGTTATGGAGATATTAAGCGAAAACCCCGACCAATCAGAGCGCGAGTATGCCGGTTGAGCGTAGGCTTCGCGATAGGCGGCCGCGCTCATACGCTACCGCGAGCGCTCCATCGGCATACTCGCGCTCTGATTGGTCAGTGTTTTCCGTTAATATATCCTCAACGAAGTCTCGTACAACATTTTCACTGAGGAAAAAGTTGTTTCAAATTACCTCTCGAACCACCCCTTTCAAGATGTTACAACATTTTTAGGACATCCTGTAGTTTCTTTTGCAAAAATGTCGGACGATGCTTCGACCAACCACAGTGCTCGAGTAGCGTGCGCTCAGCTGGTTACGCCAATCCTGGCTCGAGCGCTACTCGAGCGCTGTGATTGGTCCGTGGTTTTTCGTTAATAATTCAAAAACGAAGCACCATCCGACATTTTTGCGAAGGAAACTATGGTTCACAAACGTCTCCGCAACCCCCCCCCCCCCCCCCTCCTCCCCATTTCCAGTTCTTACACCAATTCTGGGACACCCTGTATATCATTTTTGAAAATTAATTTATTATCTTCCACAAAACTTTCAATAATCCCACTTTTACTTCTCACTTACACATAGATAAATAATTACAGTTATATAATTAGGTTTTCACTTTTAAAACTTCAGTTTTAAATTTTTATTCGCAAACAGTGCACCCGTGCAATGAAAATTGATTACAATTAATCGTATTAAAAGTACGAACATCGACGTTAACCGCAGGTAAAATAGTTCCAAAGGATCGACAATCCTCGCAGAATGTTTTTTTCATTTATACCTGGGAATCCCCGCATGTCTTGCCACTCGTTCGTAGAAGTAGTAGCCTCTGCTTGCAATTTCCTTGCTTTTTCTTTTTGTTACTTCAATGCACGTGCTTGGTAGATGGTTTTGCCATATCTGGCAGTAACTGGACAATCGTACGTTAAAGTAATCGACACGGAATATGTAAGTCACGTAGAGCATCGAATACGAGTCCACAAACGTAACTGACATTGAAATTACTCCACGTTACAGGCATATCGTAAAGTACTGGACTCAGGTGTGGGGTATTAAAGTACTCAGATATTAAAGTACCCACAAAATTAGATGTTAATTTCAGACTTAATTTGTGGGATACATTATGAATTAAATACATACGTAAATACTTTCGTTAACTGATGCGAAACTTAGATCTTCTGCAGATATTACAATATTCGCTTTACTTTTAATGTTTTTTCTTTTATTATATTTCTGCGTATTGCGCGCATTTTGTAGTTTCTTGCACATTCAAATTTCCTATGAATGCAAAAAATCTGTTCATTTATTTGATGGCCAACCAAACATTGTCTTTTAACATTGTTGATAACTATCATTAAGGAAATTTATTACGAATAAAGGAAGTCAGGATCGAGTCCCTCGACGCTAAAATTGAAAAGGATTCAATTGCTAAAATTGAAAAAAAAAAATTCTAAAATTGGAGCTAATTGATTTGGGCTTCTAATATTTGTATGAATGGCACAGTCGAAGAATGCGTCGCGGAGTAAACGAACGGCGCAGACAGGCGCGTCGAGGAACTCTTAATTAGACGTCGCGTCGGCCAATTAACTTTCTACATTACTCCAAGACGAGATCCGATAAAGGTGTGACCGGGTTGGAATTTTTCCTCGCCTTTCACCGAGCAGCCGGTCCGAAACAAAATGAGGCCACTGACCCGGAGTGCGGAGTATAATCGCGCGTGACGGTACCAAACAGTTCTCTCATCTGTGACCCTGACCCACACCCAAAGTCACGGGACGAAATCGTCCTCGACCATGGCCCACATAACTTCCTTTAACATTATTCAACGAGGAAATAAGCTTAGGATTACATTTTTGTATAGATATACAGTTTTAGGACTCGTGCAGTTTAGGACATTCTTTTAGTGATATCTATGAGTTCTTTTTTCTGAAAAAAAAAAAAAACTTTAAGAATGTTTTATACATATACTCCAATAAATATTGTAATTTTTTCGAAGTATATCCTCGGAAAATATGGAAAATACTTGCTGCTACAAAGATCACCATCAAACGTAGTTGATTATGTACATTCTGAAGGCCACAGTTTTATCTGAAAGCAATAGGATTTCACATTTACTTTAAGGATACACCTTTCTTCTATATAAGCTTAACTTGCACCCTAAACAATTGCCAATTGCATTTCCAGGTGTTAAAACAAATATGGAAGATACTTGCTGCTACGAAGATTACCATCAGACGTAGCTGATTATGTACATTCTGAAGGCCGCAGTTTCATCTGAAAGCAATAGGATTTCAAATTTACTTTAAGGATATACCTTTCTTCTATATGAGCTTAACTTGCATCCTAAACAATTGCAAATTGCATTTCTAGGTGTTAAAACAAAAGAGTATAATTTTTCACAACATGTTTTGGTAATAAAAAAAAATACTTCAGACAATGATATCACTTCAAATTTAGGTTCGTATAGGGCGTAATTATACATATAAAGAAACAACCTGTCAATTTTTTAAACGATTGGTTAAAAACTGTTTGAGCTAGAGTGTACAGAAATTCAATAGAAGTCATTTCGAGAAAAACGCGATTGAAAAAGTAAATACTGTAAACAAATTTAAGGCAGTAATGAATTTAGTTAAATTACTTACTGGTTAATCATCGATTCAAGCACCATATAGCACACCTTCTTATTTTTCTTTTTTGTATCTTTCATTTTAAGCTTGAAACTCTTCTTTTCATGGGGAGAGTCTAGTCTAGCCAAGGTTTTTTCTAATTTTTTGTTCTTGAAACTTTTTTTTCATATAAAGGTACTCTCAAAAATTTGAATATACAGGGTGGGGCAATAATTAGTACTTCAGATATCTTCGAAAGTATAAGTTTCACAGATATTCACAAATATTTGCTGAAATAAAATTACACAGTACGAAAAGGACCATCCGATGGGGATAATAGTTTTTTGTGCAGGTGGAGGTACCTCGGATATTTGAAGGTCACCTCCATTATTTTAAATCTATCTCTATGTTTTTGTATCATGATAGAGGATCTTAAAGCGAGCTCAACGACCTATTACATAAGGTCATTGAAGGTCACAGTGAGTAGAGAAAGCAGATAATACTTACGGTTTTGGTAAATCAAAAGGAGCCATTACACGAATCATTTCAAGGTCAACTCGATGTTTTCGACTGACACGTATACAAACATGTACAAAATGTCGAATGATTTCATTGAACCGTTTGTTCGTAATAAATTCACGAATAAACCACTATTCGAGAATCTTTATGGAAACATTGAAATCGTGAGGCGTGGGTCTCGATTGACCCACGCGACCGTTAAAATATAAAAATATCGTTAATAAGTGTTCTAGTGCGCCTTTAATAGTCGAAGTGATAAACATCGCGACGTGCGAAACTTTTATTACAATTTTTAACGTCCACATTCCGCGTATCGGTTCCGATCAGGTGGAAGAAAGTGGCTTAAAACAAGATGAACGACCAGGGAGAGTTTTTAGGTAGGCACGAGGAAGGTTGCGCATACCTGAGCCCGACAGTCAGGTAGATAGGTCTGTAGGTGAGTAGGAAGCAGGTCGTGACCCAGATTGGAGACCAGTTTTGTTGGCTTCCTACCGAAGGATTCCGATGTACCGTTAACATTGTCGCTCTTCCTTAGGAACTTAATTCATCGAGGTCATTCATCGCATAATTCAACTCTAGGCGCGAACTTGACATTGTGTTAGGCGTAGAAATTAATTCTATGCCTCCCTAAAGTAGACCTACTATTTATTTGTAACTTTATGTGATGAAGTTAATCGTTACTATATTTTATAATCAAGAATATTACCAACATTTTAAAATGAAAATAATTTTGGGAACAAGACTTTCACGGATTTAGAATGAAACTGCAAGTTTCTAGATAACTATTTACAAGAAAATGTTGATATGTATACATACATATACATACATATACATACAGGGTGGAGCATTTGAATGGGAACACTTTAATATCTCTATTATTTATGGTTTTATGAAAGAGATCTATAGAATAAAGTTACACTGTTTGAAGGCGAACATGTATGGTTTGACCATTGCAACACTGACATCACAGGCATACGGTTGTACGCATGCGCTGGTTTTCTTTCTCTTTTTAATTGTGGTACCCCTTGAACTCTGGCTCCTCTACTCTAACTATAATATCTGGACTGCGAATCCTTATGCACAATATTATAATATGAACTTTACTTTCGATATGTATTTTTTAAATTATATATTTATAACTATATATTTTTTATTCTTGCATATTACGTGTATTTCGTAGTTTCTTGCACATTCAAATTTTCTACAAATACGTAAAGATCCACAATCTAATAATATCCCTATGGAAATTCCCCCTTGATGAGGTTCGTCAGCAACAATCAAGGTTCTATGTAAATTTCAGGTGGTATGCAGTCGATACCAAGTAACGATGTCTCAGCTATCTACGTAGCAAAGTACAATCGTTTCGTCGACACCATCCTTGGGAGGATTAACAAAATTTTGCGCAGCAACTACGATCCCGTGACGGTGAAACTGACTAATCCGAATTCGAAAACGAAATCGAGTAAGCTGAAAAGCAAGGATGTAACCAAGAAAAAGACCAACAAGAATGGATCGAAGAAAAGCACCATGGGAACACTCGTAGCCGAAGCAGAGAAAACGAAAGAAAAACTTCCTGAAAACACACAGGTATTTAATAAAAAAGAAAATTACTATCATCTAAGTTTTTTGAAAAGAACTTAATGTATAACAATAGTGCGAATACAAATACATTAGTAATAAGTAAATTTAAATGAAACTTCAGACTATGCGTACAATTTGTTAGTAAAAATATGTTTGTTTCTAGACACATGATTATTTTCTTGGCAGTGATGGGTAAAATCCTAGAGTTCGAATAAATCTGAAGTTTACTGATATGTTTGTCTCGTTTCCTCTTTTGAAAATTTTCCAAAGAAAGAAAGCAGACTGCAGTTTCCCTAGATTTGCATTAGAAAAGAATCATAAATTGATACAGTGTTTGGTATCGCTCTATAGATTAAATTAATCATGCTAATTTTAATAAAGTTCAGTCTTAATTCGAAATATTCTAATTTTTAACCTAGTATTAATGTTGTATTAATATAGTATTACGTAATACTATAGGTACCTTTTAATGGAGATTTTAAATATAGTTTGTACTGATCAATCGAATCATTTTACAGGAAGTCAAGGAATCTATCAAAAACATCACTTCGTCCTCGATTAATCTAGAGAAGGATACAATCGCAGTTTCCACGAGCAACGTTGCGAGCAAATCTTCCACGAGATCTGCGATAAAACCCACTAATCGGCGAACGTCTGGTTCAAACACAAGAAAGACAAATAAAAATCGCATTGGGACAAAGAACAAAACAAAAAATCAAGCTACGGTTAACAAAAATAAGGTACATATCGTTTATTTAGGCAAATGGTGCTCTTACTCCGTACGAGACGTTCGTATCATCTGTTCTGGTTGAATTTCTGCAAGGAAACAATAGTACATTGTGCAATTAGGGATGACAATAGACAATTAAAAGTTATTATGGGTAGACCAGGAGAGACGTAGAGCCAGACTTCAAGGCGTACCACAGCTAAAAAGAAAAAGAAATTGTGATGCCAGTGTTGCTTCCTACTCGCGCATGCGCGTCGAAAGAAGTTGAACGCGCAATACTGTAGCTATAGGAGACGGTACCTGGACCCACGACCTAATTTTTTGATACTTCTATCATCCTTTAGGGTGAGAATTTTATGATCGTATTAGATACTCTACTGATGCAAATAACAGTGCGCCTGCGCGAGTTGGAAGCAACGCTAGTATCTCACAGCCAACGCATGCGTACAGCACATGGTTTCACGCGCATTTTGAATATCTCCTTCCCAGCGTTAACTCTTTATCAATTCAATTCGTTCAGCTTGCAATTATTTCCTTATAATATTTTATCGTTGATAGTGTTATATAATTATAAATTGTATAAATGCGCGTTAGGACAGTTGAGTACGTTTTATAAATTTGTAATATACAAAGCTAAGTCAACAGCCAATGATAGCCTGATTTTTACGGCGCATGGGTTAGTAGACAGAAATAAATAGGGTACCGCGCTTCCCTACTCTTTCAGTGTAAAAACTAATGATTGTTAAGTTAAACGCTATGATAAACTGAGCCAAGCTCTTCTCTTTATAACAATGAGACATTTACACTTACAGACAGGCCTACCTACAGACGCTTGGGGAAGTCCCCTGCGCATCTTCAGATGACCTTATGAAGAATTATTCTTATAAAATCATACTCGTTCAAAACGCACAGATTAAAGATATTACATATATATATATATATATATATATATATATACTTATTCTGAAAACTATCGGTCATTTAGTTTTTATAATTTAAAACATACCTAAAATATTCTCTAAGTTCAAAAATCAAGAAAACTTTTTCCTATAAAAAAAATATCTCAAGAAACACTTAATGCTTAATACTCCCAATGTGGTTTCCCCTCCTAAAATCAGAATTGTTGAGTTTGAGTTAAGTGAAACCTTAGCGATTCGAATACTGCTCAATTTGCAGACAAGGAAGAACAAACCAAAAGCACGAGCCACCCTTTACGGACTTGCTAGCCTTCAGAGATCTGGAGATGTGTCAGTAAACATGATGAGCAATCACACCATGATTAAAACGAGGTTCACATTGGGCCCTCTCATTCTGAAGGTTGAAAAGGAATTCGGCAGGTCTGCAAAGAAAGAACTGAGAAGTGCGACAGCCACCACTGCTGAGATGTCTGGGAAATTGAGTCTCCGAGTTCTTCATGGTGGTGCTGCTACGTTGAACTCTATTCGAGTCTTGCAACCTAAACAAGTACGTCAACTATATATACTTGCTAAATCTTATATAATAGAAGGCATCAAGAAGGATGACGAGATGATTCTCTGTTCAAAAATAAATTAATAACGTCAAGAAGCACTTGACAGTGCAATTCTTTATTACATTTAGTTTATAAGTTATACTCATTTAAAGTTTGATAACGTCACATTCACTTGATGGAAGGATGATGAGCTTTCTTTGGGAGTTTGATCTTTGACCATGAAGCTTGTTCACGTTCTGTAGTGCATCATTGTAATATACATTTACTGACAAAAGTTAAGAAACAAAGTAGTTATTAGCATATGAAATTGCAATTTTACCAGTTAAATACAATTAACAATCAACACAATCACTATGAATACATTTTTCATTGTGCATGCTGGCTTGTAACACAAGTATTTTGTTGGAACTCGATAACATAACATTGTTTGCTTTAGAAAATTTGGAAAAAGTCGTCCGTCAAATTGTGACTCGGCTGCAACTAACTTTCAACTTGACGGAGTATGTCTGTGTAATTGAAAGGAAAAAAGTAGAACCAATTTATTAATGTAACGAGTCACGAGTTAACTTTTGTCAGTAAGCATATACAAACTCTCCACTATTTGAAACATAATTTTAGAATACCTCATCAGATTGAACATGATTGGGGGCCTATGCCTCCCAAAGAAGGATCACATCCCCCTAATGATATAAGTAAATTATATTTTATAATTGGTTTGCAATCATAAACTATCCCAGCCTTTACCATCAAAAAAGATTTTATCATTGTATTTAAAATAATTTGGATACTTTTTGAACAGGTTCGAGTGGAGAGCGCAGACGACCATGACAGAACACGTGAGTTTGTATGGAAGAGATCATCGCACATTGCTCACTTAGTCTCAGAGAAATTATCATCGGCGACGAGATCGATGCTGCGACCGCCACCTGCTGCAGTAGTAGTAGCTTAAGTTTTCATCGTCGTCACAGTTAGTTTTAATGAATGCGCTCCACAGTACTATACAAATGAACATATTCAGATTCTTTAATTCAAAATAGTTTCCTGTTACAGTACATGTTTTTTATTCTCTAAATCAAAATAGATTCTTGGTAGATTCGAATTGAAGAAATTGGATGCGCGAAGTTTACGTAGACATTATTATGTTTTGCGAATTAATTTATACATAGTAGATGAGAAATGCATATGTATACTTTTGCATGCCAATTTTTAATTGACTTTTTAAATTTACGAGCATACAATGTCCAATTCTTTGTTTAAACCGTGATAATATTTGATTTATTAATTTTGAATGTATTTAATATCTTTTTATGATAGTATTCATATTGCAATGAATAAATGCTCTGGTATAAATCTGAGGACTTAAATAAGAGTCCATAGAACAGTGCTAATTCTTCTTTTTCTTTAGAGTCGAACAATGTGCGCTTTCATTTTATACTAACGTATCCTACGGGTTAAAACTATTTATTTATTTAAGTGTATTTATTTATTTATACAAATTTCTATACGTATACAAAGTCTGATACATGTTTAAAACCGCGATATCTCATCGATGTGTAATCTGCATGTAAACTATGTAATGCTACATGGAACATGACAGTTAAACTTAAGTTTTAAGAATAAAGAAATAATTTAAATCAATCAATGTTTTGTACTACTATTACATTACTATTCTAATTATACGTATATATGTATGTGATATAAAGTAAAGAATACACATTTTACACTTTACGCTTTACACTTTACACACTTTACACACTTCACAATTTCCATTTTACACTTTACAACTTCACAGCCATTAGCTCGATATTACTCATGACGAAGGACTGTTCATCATGAATAATACCGATTACCAGGTCTCACCACGTGGAGGTTGCTGCGACTGGAGACCCGGAGATAGAAGGAATCAAAGTTCCTTTGATCTCCCCCTGCATAGAGTGTACATACATAGATGCATACTCTACGTAGAGTCGACGAGCTTAATACTAAGTACGAAACCGTGGAAATTAAAGAAAACTAACTCCCTTTGATTTCCAAAGTTTAAGTCTGACTCTGCCAAATAATTATTTGAACTAAATGGAAGATAAATGGAAATCGCGACACGACGCGACCATGAAACTGGACTTACTGAGTCAGTCCCGTTTCCTCTTGTTGGATCTGACTCGAGAGGAAGACGATCGACGCCTCCGAACCAGTCCTCCACACCCTGCACCCCGTTGGGAGCCACTATAGGACCCGACTTGCACCCGTCTCACTGCGCTTTGGACTTACTGCACTGCGCCGGGAGCCTTGGACTACACTAAACGTGATGCAGGAAGTAGAGGACTGATCCGGAGGAGCCGATTGTCTTCCTCTCGAATACAGATCCACCAGGAGGACGGCAACCGACCTTTCTGTCCAGTTACACAGTTGGTCACTTCACTTATGACATGAAGTAATAGTGACCGAAGTGGAGAACGAAGTTGCGAGTCCAATATGGACTTACGAACAAACAAAAGAATTGAAGAAATGATTAATAATTATTTGATAGAGGACAGACACTCGTACACGCATGCCTTAAAACTAACTTATGTAGATACATGCCTTAAAACTAATCAAACCAAACTAAGGTACCCACAAGCAATACCAAGCTACGATAACTAAGGGAAACTACACTACGCAAAAATAGGAGGGATGCGAAATGCGGACGCGAGATCGCGAGATCCATACCGACCGAAGGATCGTCGAAGAATGAGCTCCCACCCCTCGTATACCTGCATCGGTCGAGGGTCGCGACTCGTGGCTCGCTATCGAAGAGTGGGGCAAGGGCAAACAATAAGCGTGTGGTTGTTGATTCAATGGCTCGTTGGATCCATCGAAGAAATATTTCGCGAAACATTAATATTACAGCAAAATCATATTCTCGGTCATTATTTAAACAAATATTGTTAATAATTAATTTAACTATTGCCATAAATTGATATTTAGTTGGTCCAATCAATAAAAATAAATGTATTTACAAATATTCAAAATATAATTTGACTTAAAGGGTAAAATATGTTTGTTTTAATTTTGTAGATTGAGGAAGCTAATATTGACAGATTTCTCACGATTAATGTCTCGAATGAATACTTATTCTGAACCGTAATTGTTATTAATGTTTAATCGAAGACCGAATGTTACTGTATGTATTATAAATGTTTAATTATGTTTAATTATGAATAGTTATAGATAGAACAGATAAATAGACAGAATAGATTGATTCGAGTGTTCTTATTCTTATACATACCTTTTGTCGCATACTACAAAACTAATATTTTATATATCAATTTATTACGAATTCGAAAATTTATGTTAAATAAATAATTAAATATAATTATTATACTGTTAACAGTAGTAAATGTAATAGTAAATGTCTAATCTTTCCTGTTAATATTTTTATTTTATAAAATGACAAGTATGATACATTGAACAAACGCAAGCGGAGAACGATATGTAATGCAATAAATAATTTATTTATTTAGCAATTAAGAGGTATTGGTGGCGTTATCTTACCGAAATGTTGAAAAGACGCCCAAGTTTGCAGTGAAAATAGGTTCTACTGTTGCTACTAGATGGCGCCACCGATACCTTCTAATCAATTATTCTTTATTTTTCATAAATGCATAATGAATTCAATTCATTCTAAATACAGTATAATTTATAAACTGAATATAATTTATCGTAAATTATTCTGCATTTTTATATTTTTAGCCACTTTGTCGTATTTCTGATCCATTTATGTACTGCACGATACAAAATTTTTAAATTCGATTAATGGCGGATCCAACATGGCCGACTTATGTCTTAAGAGGTTATCAGATTTGCATAAAGGGATGAAAAGACATACGTAAGAGCTTTTGGAGTTGCTAATTACAAATTTAAGTACAAATTAAAAATGGCCAAATTCAAGATGGCCGACAGTACACAGACACAACATTATATTATTATAATGTTTTAAATTATAACTTTTGAACTAGAAATTTATGAGAATGAACTTTCAGGTACTGAAACAGAAACCTAAGAATAATAAAATAAAAATGATTTAAGACAAAACAAATTATATAAATAATTTTTTCTGCGATTATTTTAAGCAACTGCGATTATTTTAATCTCTCTCATAGCATGTTAAAATTCAAGAATCTAAACAAAATTGAAATTGTAGCCTTATTTATCTTCTTTATATATCATCTTCTAAAAATGATGATTTTTTTAAAGCTAATATATTAAAATGAACTGGAGATTCTGCGTTAAAGATATTACAATAAAATTATAATATAAGCTACAAAATTGATTTCTTGAACGTTAGTATTTTCTGTTCTTATTTCCTTGGTGTCTAAAAATATATAAATATGTAATATAACAATACCTTGGTTTTCATATAATAGAATGTAATAATAGTAATAATGTTGTTATTAGATGGCTTTCTTTTTTAGTAAATGTACCTACCATGATCGAAAGAAAAAAATAGACTGATTTGATCAAAAGTAATTTATTTTTTTCTTTAAAAACTTAAACATGGAATGCAACTTCTACACATAGTGACAGGGTATAATATGTAAAACTACGGTACTACTATATTCATAATTCTTTACGGCTTTTACAAGATTCAACATAATATACTTTATCGTGTACAATAATAGCATGATTCACCATCGGTAGCAATAATCCTTAGACTCTGTACTAACTATTGTGTATATCCCCTGTACTGATTTCTTTACAAGTGAGTATCTGACTTCTGCATCGTTTCCTATCCATATTTACTCTGATGTTAAATTCATTCCATATTTACAAATATACAGAGTAAGTCGGTTTCGCATAGTTTGTTCCAATCCTTATGTTCTCCACATATCTTATAAAAACAGAGAAGTAGGCTCTCATTTAGGTTTTCTAGAAACACAATTCTTTCTTTGTAGAGTTGAAAAATTGGAAAATGAAGCTATACTTATCGCTGGAAATTATTATACAATACTTATTCGTCTAGTTCCTTTTGTTTGCCTAATTACTGACAAAATTAAATCGTAGAATACTATAATTCTACATTGCACAGATATATTAATCAATCGAAATGTAAGACCATTAGTCAACATGAAAAATATATACTTTCCACAGAGTTGAATTGCAAATTTGATAGAATTAAAATACAAATTAGTTTAATCTCTATATTATCCTGTGTACTTACTATGTCATATAGCATACGTACAAAAGTATACCCACAACAATGAGTACTCATCTCTTCTTTTAACGGAAAGCAAACAACAGCATGTTAACTTAACTAATACCATAATTACTATTCGCAAGATGCTTGTTTTAGTTAAATAATTCACTATTTCTAATCATAATACAGAAAAGAAAAAGATGTTGAACAATAGGAAATATTTGATCGCCACAAAGAATACTTCATTTTAATTCGAAAACTCGAATCAATATTTCATTCCTCAATTTATATTTTATCCTTTGCATATCCAAGTGTTCGAATTGATATCAAAGTAAAGTATTTTTAACTATCAACATTTATTTGAATAAAAGTATGCTTCCGTATGAGCATACAATGCTTTTTCCATAAAAGAAACTCGAGAATTGTATTTTTGTTTACATTTATTTACACAGAATACGCTTCCTGTACACGCATCGAAAGGTAGTCCTCCATGTTCGTTGCTTTCTCCCTTTCTCATGAAAATGAGAATCGATACTCAAATAAAATGATGTGATCCTCTAGATAGTGCTAGCGGAGGGGAAACTTATGCTTACAAATCAATTATCAGAACTTTTTGCTTGCGGCGAACAGAGTAAAGGCACCTTGAAATTGTTCAGTGTCCGTCACCTATATTATTTGGTTTTGTAGCAATTATTTGTGATCTTTTGTGATCAAATGTACTGTCGCAATGAATAACAAACTTTAGCGTGTGCTCAAATGTACACAGAGTGATCCACTGGAAGCATCGCAGTCCTTTTTGTTACATTAAGATTCTCTGCAACATATAACAAATAACATTCATTTAAAGTGTATTTCTTACTGTACATAGTATTTGAGATACAACAAGAAATATAAAACTGATGAATATAGTTGCATCGTTCACATTATGCATAGCAAAAACAGAGTTTTAAACAAGTGTTATTTATGTTAACATGAATTGTATATCATATCATCATGTACCACATAAGCTGCAGAAAACCCTAATGCATCAAAAATAGTTACAGAAAATAAAATACTTCCTACAGACCATCCTGTTGTAACATACATATATGTATATATATGTAATACTCCACAAATGTATAATTGGTCAAAGAAAGTGTAGGACCATCTCAAGTACCAATAAGTACTCGCAGCTACTCATCATACTCAACAATAATTACAAATGAAGTCAATGGACACAAATGTAGAAGTTGATCCTGTGCGAATTACAACTTCCCTTTTGTACGCCTCACTACGCAGAAGCTAGATTGAAATTTAATGCCCTGCAAATGTAATATTCTCACCTAAATTTGATCGTAGTGGGTAATGTGTAAGTGTTGACGATGAACGTTATAAAAGTCTGATGAATCAGCTTGTTTTAATCTGAATGCATATCTCTAAACGAATACCCTGTATCTTACTTTTGCGGTTGGTTTGTTCCGAGATTTTTCAACGATGATTATTTTAAATACAATATGCAAATTTTAGTATTAACTAAGCACAGTAGTGTAACTATTAATGAGACTGCGATGGAGTACATCCAATACGTAGTTGTGATAATTAAATTGAGATGACTATACGATGAAAACTATTTAGTTTGTGAGTTGATGTTTCAAATTTGGTCCATTTTGGAAGACAACCACATTAAGTACGCCTTCGATGAATGTTTGCTTCATGCGTTTGATAGTATGAAGCACATAAAACAGAACCGTAACTAGTTTACAACTTCCTTCACACCTTTCCTCTTCGATACCATTCTATTAATACGATAGCTCTAAAAACATTTTTTAAATCAAAGTTTCGTGGAAACTGTGCGATTAACTTTGCATGTCGGTTGGTTGTATAGATTGTGCATATGCTAGCAATACACTTCATGCCTTTTTATAAATAGTTTCGTCTTGAAAGTAGGTCTTGTACAATAGCTATTCTGCAATGTAAGAAATAAAATAAAACTAATTCTCTGCAGAAACATAGTTTATGGAGACTTCATTCTTTATATGAAATAAATAGAATAACTTACTTTACAGCATACACAGTTACAGAAAATATTATAATGGACCGTAACAATAACGTGTTGTGCATACAAGTGCATCTCCTATCGTTCAAAGTAAATTAACTGATATTTACCATTAAGAAGAAAAAGCCATTCTGTGAGCCAACGCAATTTTCTTGTAATATGTAATATGTAATGTTACAAGAATTGTTGTATATTATATTATAATACGTGATTAAAGAAAATTTGTATTGAATTTCAGTGATTCGTCAATTATATTTACAGTATTAAAAGATTTAAAATTCTTAAGTAAAGTTAAATTTCGTTAGTAACATATTTTATACTGAACGGTTACCATAAATATAAATGTTCATAATAATTATTTTATATAAAAAGGCAGCATATAAATAAGAAAAAAAAAAACAATATTACTTTGCCATTACAAACAGCAGACATAAGAAATATAAAATAATTTAGCATTGATGTTTAAAATAAATCTAAAAACAAATTTAATGCGTCTTTTAAAAGATGATCTAAGTAAGCATTAGAAATCATTCTTAGCGAAAAATTTATTACAAGCCTCATTTTATAAAATGTTCATCACCCCTTGCAGAAATCTAAAGATCATGTATCATGTAAAGTTCAACTGAAACCATTCATCAAAGAATTTGAAAATTTCAACATTGAATGAAATAATAAGATTCTTGAAAACATGTCCTTTAGTTGAACAAAGTATCATGAAACTTCTACTTTAGATTTTATGTTAATTTAATTTTGTAAACGTCAGGTAAATTAGGAACTGTACGAGTCAACATGTTGCTACTAATAACTTAAAGATCTCCAATTATGTAAAATATTTAGACATAGCTGTTGAATAACAATCTGTATGCACAAATCTATACTGCCAATTGCTATAACTCCACTCGCATGTTCTTAAGACTATTAATTTCTGAATCGCTTACATTCTATCCAAGTGGAAGAAGTATTAAGGTTGACGAACAACTCGCTGTATTGATTGTTAATTATTAAGTAAACTAAATGTGAATAACACCGTAAGATTAAATCTGCATATACACTGAGAGCTTGCTGTCGATGGCCATCTCCATCAAGTTCACAGTATAAATAAAATCTGTTTAAATAGAAAAGATCTAGTACATAGTGTTTCGCCAGCAATACATTATGACAATTGGACTTTTCATGCGGGACATGAAAACACACACACCTTTTCGAACAACAATACAATGTTTCTCTCACTCTATAATCAGTACACAAGATATCCCCGCATGTTGGTAAAACATGAATTTTAAATAGCTCAAAATTACAGAAGACCAGTTCGTTGAAAATATCAATGATGATATAGGTGGTGGCGTTAAGAACTTTTCTTGTTAAATTGCAAAGTAAACCGAACCCTTTGAGTAATGTAGAATGTTCAATGAAATTATAAATAATTTACAGTCATTACACTTTCTCTTTCAAATGTATGCGTATACATGAGTACATTCAGCAAAAAAGACTGGTTCATGTTGTTACAAAGAGGCAATCAATCAGTTTGCATAAATAATCTACCAATTGGAAGTTGAAATACACTTCACATTGCTATAGTACGAAGAAATCTTTTTTGCCTCAGGTATACACAATATACACATATATGTATATAGCCATACAATCGTCAAATACACACACATACATACATACTCGCGCGCGCGCATACACACAATATTATATTATATATGTACATGTAAACTTAAACAAGATTCGCTGCAAGACGATTCTCTGAACAGAGTAACGTATGAATCTATATATACAGTGTACAGTAAACCTTTTTTTAATTTCTGATCACATGTTTGTACAAATTTAGTTTGTACACGTATCGTATTGGTCAACTATTCTATAAATATCTATTCTTTTTATCTTTCCTTCGATTCCTCAGCAATATATATGAGACGCTCTGAGATTTCATAGCAAAATAATCTTCGTTACGAGTTCTTTGCTAAAGACTAAGGCGTTTTAACAATTGCATAAAAACAAATCCTCAATCCTTCAATCATGGTGAAAGTTTAACCGATCAAAACACTCTGTTTCTAAGGACAAGATCTAAAAATTTATGTTGTTGGTGCACGTCTCATATTTCTGTAAATTCTAATAAGCAGATTGTACTACAGTGTAAAGTAATTTTCACCTGTTCATGTTGACACAACAGTACTTGTCGATGATTGAGCCACTGTTGTCACTGTTATCAGAGTTAACGTAGCATCAAGAGTATTCTGTTCCACCGTTTCGGTGTCAACATCTTTCTCCATGCATGATTTCTTCGCTTCCTTGTGTTCTTCCGATGAACTCGACTTCCTCTTGTGGTTGGAACTCGAAGAGTGAGAGCGACTGGATGCTGAGTCCTCTTTGGAGGAGCGACTGCTGGATGACTTCTTCTGACTGTCCCGTCCGTGACTGTGATGTCCGTCTCTTCTCTTTTCTGGTTTTCTTTCGCTGTCTTTGATATCCGTGCGATCAACGGTTTTGCTAGAAATGTTGTAATCTCTAGGTAGCGAAGAAATTTTCAATAAATCCTCTTTGCTGCTACCTTCTTCAGGTTTGCTATCAGGCTTATGGTGAGGACTCCGATGACGATGCTTTTTGTGTTCTCTGTCCCGTCTATCTCTATCTCTCCTGTCCTTATGCCTGTTTCTGGAATCCTTGTCGTCTCTGTGTTTTCGCTTGGACTCCAAATGCAACATACAGTTTGACGACAATTTGGATGAGTTCTCATCACTGCTGCCAGTCCTACTGTTACTACTATGCCTCTCAGCTTCTGCCACTGGAGAGGTAGACGTAATCGAAGAACAAGACGAAGAATTGGGAATCTTTGACACTGAACTCTCTTCGCACGAGTTAGCAGTGACTGGTGTGCAAACCTTCTCATTCTTCGCTCTCTCCTTGGCTTCGTCCTCAGCCATTTCGATCAGTGCTTTCACTGCGTTCTCAGTCGCGCACTCCATCTTCGACGTGAAAGCCAGCGTTGTTTCTATCTCCAGTAATTGACAGTATCGCTCTAATTTTGATATATCTTTTTTGTACTTCTGTTCAGCGATCTCGAAGCTTTCCTTGTGTATTTTTTCTAGTACTTCTTTCGAAGCTTCTGCAACTCCAGTTCGCAGGGACTGGCAAACTTCCTCCACGTCAGTCTTTGATTTGTAAATAGCGATTTCCAGAGCCTTGTCCACCACTTCCGTGGCGTACGTCTTCGCTACCAGTTGTCTCTGCGATAACAGGTCCTGTTCAAGAATGACGATACAGTCAGAGGTACTGTGTTCCGAAGTACAAAGATCCGAAGAACTTAGTCGTCTCTTGCTCTCTTTGGAAGAAGACACAGAGTTGGTGAATTTGCTGCTGGATTTCGATTTTATTACGTTTGAAATGCTTTCTTTGCTGGATGTGTTACTGCTACATCTGCTGTGATGACGATGGTGGACTAGCTTGTGGTTCCCACAGTCGTACTTCTTCTTGCCAGGAGAGTGACTATTACTGCTACTGCTGTTACTGTGAGAGTGGTGACTGGACTTCCCGTTGGATCGACGTCGACTATCGTGTCTTCTCTCAGACCTCTTATCATTCCTCTTATCACCACTCTGCTTTTGGTTTTCGGTAGCACTCTTCGAAGATTTGCTATTGTAGAGATCAGAGTCATTGTTCTCTTCAGAATCTCTCCTCTTACCCGAAACGGAAGAATGTCTATTATAATCTCTGCTTTTACGCTCTTCCTTGCGTTTACCATGCTGATCCGACTTCTTCAAATTCCCTTGGTACTCAGCAGCCCTCTCTTTCGCTTTCTTCTCTTCGAAGGAGTCGATAGAGTGCTTCTGCTCCACTCGTTGGCGATTGGTATTCTCCTTCTGCTCGTCTCCTATGTTTACAACTTCCAGAGGCTTCTTTTCTTTGATACGGTGGGACGGTTCATTCGCAACGCGCGTGTGCCTAATGTTTGAATTATGCTGCGACTCTGGGTAATACTGTTTTAATCTGACGTGCCATGCCACGCTAGAAACTGCAGACACAGTTCTGAACTGGTGAATTATGTTGCGTGGGAGGAAGTAGATATCGTTATCGTACAGATTTATTCGCGCGTAGCGAATACCTTGTCTTCGCAGCTGATTCAATTTGGCGTCTTCAACCCATTGCACGCACTGCGAAATAGGTGGTTCGTGGAGGTCTAATTGCAATTTTTCGACCAGCTCTGGAAAATCTCCAGCGTAGAAAGCCACAACGTCTTTTGTGATTCTGTTGTACTCTGAGGTTTGCCCACCGTGCACTGCTTTCAGTATGCCGACTGCAGCTGTTGTCATTCGGTCCAAGCCATGGCCTACGTGGTCCGCGTGGGCTTTGGTGCGATCTTCGAACATGTACTCGCGAGCTTCACTGAGGCGGGGTAGGTATTGGAGATTTCTTAGTTCGTTTATGCCTGTCCTACGCCTTTTGTAAGGGCTTTTGTTTATGTCTGCCGTTGGGACTAATTGTTCACCCGGTCTGATCCAAAGAATTGGGCCATCGTTTGATTCTTGGGGAGTCTCCATCTTTACTACGGAGAGAGGGCCCCAAGGCATCGTCTAAAAGGGAAAATAGTATTTAAAACTTGAATTTATAAAGTTTTATATAGAGAAGTTTGCAGAAGAAAAACTCAAATTTATAGTTCTATATAGTTTGTTAGACTGTATTGCTGAAAGAGTTTGCAGTACAATAATTCCCTTGATACTTACATAATTGCTATACTATATGCTAGTATACCTTTTTAGCATCCAAACTTATATGGTTTCGTATTTGTTGCAAGAAAGAATTGGAATATTTTGGTGCATTAAGAAACTAATGATTTAAATGTTATTTTTTATCATAAATTATTTATTGCAAAAAAGTATTGGAATACTTTTGTGGATTAAGAAACTAGCAATTTAAAAGTTATTTTGTTCCTTAAATTCACAAAATAAAAATGTCTTTCGCCATTTCACATAGACTCCCTAATTGTTCATTTTGTTAATAATTTTATAGAATTTGGTCATAGAACATGTTTCTTCTGTTACAAACTGTTTCCATGATACCATTTGTACTATCATGTGTAAATGTTTGAGTAAATAATTCTTTTAACAGAATACACTCCTTTTAAAGCCTGCTCTTTCAACTTACCAGTTTTAAAAATGGGTTTTCTTCCAGTTTTTGTAAAAGATCTGGAAAGTATCCGCCAACTTCTTCATGAACAGTTCCTACGAGACTTATCTGGTGGAGAGGTCCATATCTAATTGTTCCGTTACTATAAGCTTTACAAACTTGTTCTTTGTACTGTGCCATAGTCGTGGTCTCTATGTCACTACTTCTTCCTAACACGCCATTCTTGACAGTCAATGTTGGATAATTGTCAGCCATGTAATCCAACAAATCAGGAAGGTACGCGGCAGCATTGTGCACTATTCCCATGACGTGATGTGCATTGCCATTCTCATCTTCACCGAAAACTACCTGATGTATCAAAATATTTTAATTGTTACATGTTTTAATCGTTAATCATAATACTCATGCCTACGTACCTTGAAATACTCTTGAGCTAATTCCTCTACTTGTTCATGCGACAATGTATCAATCTCATCTTGATACATATGCACAACAGTTGCACCACCATTGGGATAAGTTTCTATATGAATGAATTTCTTGTACTTTAGGCCTTCAAGTAACTCACCCTTAAACAGAGGATTGTGGAGCATTTTATAGTTCTTCATTTGCAAGTTTAACCTAAGATTCTCATTCATAGTTTTGGAGAACACATGAGACAGTGGTTTGCTGCTCAATGAAACCACACTACGATCTCGCTTGCATTGTACTCCGATGCTTGCTCTTTTTATTTTGCTACGCTTGTAACATCTCGAACAGTAACGCCTCTCGCTGTGTTCCTTGTTTCGTTTGTCTCTTGAAGAATACGATTTAGAATGAGAATTCGAAGATGTAGAACTGATGCAGTTCATTGGTTTGTTGTGAGACAGCATGGTGTCTGTTTGGCCTGCTACTATCGCAGGTACGCTGTTGTTAGACCAATCAGACTTGACTATGTCTAATTGCTCTTTGGAATCTGCTTCTTCCATTTTAACTTCCACCACCTCTGTTTTTATCTCTCTAAGGGTGGTATCTCTCTCCTTATCCATTTTTTCTTCCTCATTCGAGTTTATTTGTGCAACGGAAACTTGTTCATCTGCTTTCTTGTGTTGTCCGCAGAATGAATAAGACATTAAACTCTTTGCAGTTAAATTGCTTGCGTTTTCTTGGTTGTACGTGTCCATTATAATAGTCGAAGTCACAACAGCAGATGTCATGCTGCTGGGAAACATTGTCTCAGGGCTGTTGGGACTGTTGGAGACTCTTGGAGGGTAATCTGGACTCCTTGGACTGTTGATCACCTCACCATTGCTACTTTGAGGACTTTCCCCTAATTGAGGTGTGTTGCCATGCTCAAAGTTTACGCAGCCTTCTGGTAGCGTTGGCAAAGAGTGTATGCCACTGGATATCGTATCTTTGCTAGACACTGAGTCAACCTAACAGGGAATAATTATATTGAGAATAAGTTATAATTTATTGTACTCAGTTGGTGAATTCAAATATACATACATGAACTGCATGTTGACTTGGCTCTATTACAGTTTTTATTAATTCATTGTTGCAATGATCCGGGTTCCCTATAATGTATATATAGTTTAATGTTGTGTATATATAGTTATTCAATTTTTATTTTCAATTTGTCATTTTAACAGTTTGAGATCAGTACTCAATGTTAAAATTACAGGCTTATTTAATTTAGCATTTAATATGTAACATTACAAGAATTGTTGTATCTTTATTATATTATAACACGTGAACATCATTAAAGAAAATTTCTATTGAATTTCAGTGATTCATCAACTATGTTTACAGTATTAAAAAGATATAAAATTAAATGTTTGTAAGTGCAGAAACTGGATAGACTCTGTCTTTGTCTTTACCAGCTGCGAATTAGAAATTTTTATACCAGAAGCTCCCTCAATTTCTTAAATTGTAACGAGTAAGACTTGTTACAACTCAACTTGGAATTGCAGTAAATTAAGCTGTGGCATTTGCGCTTGATCTGAAACTGTGACCATGAGCGAGACTTGTTAAGAAACAGCAAAAATTTAATACATTAAAGCATTAGGCTTTTATTTAAGTCAACCCTGTCCCTAACAACCTGACACTCTCTCTGTACACAGTGTTGTACAAGTTTGACTTTTTAAGCTACGTCATTTGCTATTTTGAACCAAAACTCATTGAATTACTGCTCTAACCCCATAAGTTAGTATTAATCTAACACAGTAGTTTCTCATCGTATATGATCTGCTGTCTCTCTAATTTACACACAGATCTCAACCAATATTCTTTGATATGATGCAATAAACATTCTACTGTTTGTTGATACAAAAAAAAGTATTAGCAATGGAAACATTCTACAAAAGATTGAAACCAAGCTCCGTATAGGCATCATTGAACTTTGTGCTTCAACTAACATTCTTCGATACGACACAATAAACATTCTACAGCTTGTCAATACATCAAAAAAAGATTAGCAACCAAGGATTATGGATTCTTGGACGTTGCCTCTCGTTTCCTCATTTTCTGTTCATAGTTTGCGCTCTCTACTTTTCTCCACTTGCGATCATAGCGCAGTGTCTCCACTGCATCAAGCAAAAGTGTAGCATGTAATGTGTCATAACATTCGTGGTCCATATGACAGATTAACTATAGAAACCGATGTGTTTACACTCTAGTACACAGGTTGAAATATTACCATTTGGTTGTTCGCTGCGAATACTGTCCAAATCACTCCTGTTGTTGGACATGCTGCGCGGTTCCATGGATGGTACGTGCAACGCAGTGTTGATGGCGAGTTTGTACGTAGCACGTTCCTCCACATCACCGGAGGAGCTCATGAAACTCACGTTCCTCTGCGTTTCTCTCCCTTCGGTGTTTGTGCTGAACGATGACGCTGTAGAGAAAATCGTGGGCGTCCTGATTGAATGCACGGCTAAACTATTCGTAAACTCGTTTGTCTCGTTGGTAACACTGTTCCACGGTGTTTTTGCCACTTTTCCATTAGTCGTTTCTCTCCGTGGCGGCTCGAATACTTCCTCGATCGTATTATTTACATCACATCGCTCATTTGACACGATACTTGCACCAGTTTCGGTAGCCATCTTGATTCTGCGAGCACATCCTGAACACAACGATACTACGCGACGTGCGATTGGTCGGCTCTTAGCCGCCTTTTGGACAGACCTCGTCCTATTCGTCTGGAATCGGACGAATGGTGGGGGTAAGACCAGTAGATATAGAGGTATCATGCGCCATACATTTTTATTCATGGTCTTCGATCACCATGTTTTTTCGGAAATTGTTTGATCACAAAACACTAATCGAGTTACTTGTTTTATTTGGATTACGAGTAATTGCTTGCAATCTGTTGATTATGGTTTATTATAGCGTATTTTAGTAAGAATTTGTATCGAATAGAAATCTAAGCGATTTTACCACTAATTTCTAAACGATTATTTGAAAATTATGGTACACGTTTACATTTACCGATTTGTAATTATTGAAAATATTTCTGTGACATTAATTTTAAGTCGATGCAAAGTATACATTCTAATTTGTTTTATTTCTTAAGCAGAAATAAAACAAATGGCTATTTAGTCCTTTGTCGTTCAAATTTGTTTATTATTAACTAAATTAGTTTATTTTATAATTTTAGCTGTTACTAAATTGGACAATTTTGGGAATTCTTATTTTTATTATTATTATTATTTTCATTCTCATTCCCATTCCCATTAGTGACCAAAGTCAGACTTGCTCCGTCTAATATTTATTTAAACAATAACTTTGACAAATCAGATTCCAGCGACCTTATTTCGTAAATCTAGTAACTTAGGGGAGTTTGCAATGCAAATATGCGATGTGCTTTGAGATGGACAAAACCCTAGGCTTCGAATAAATCTGAAGTTTGTCGATGTGTTTGTCTCGTTTCTTTCTCTGGAAAATGTTCAAAAGAGGAAACGAGACACACATATCGGCAAGCTTCAGATTTATTCGAAGCCTAGGGTTTTGCCCATCACTGCATAAGAACTTTTCTCAATGTCCGTATAATAGGGTCACGTGACGCATCTATGTTCGTTAGTAGTCTATGGTCTATATACGTTCTATGTTGGGAATGGGAATTATTATCAAATTTTCTATTGCTATTTCATAGTAAACACATGAATAAATAATTATGGCATGTAGTTTCTCGGGAATTTTCTATAAAAATAAAAATAGTGCTTTCACAAAAATTACATTTTTCCCTGTAGAAGAACTTACAGTGCTGTGGTTATATAAAATCGTACCAGCATAAAGTGTGAATACACAACAAAAATTAATAAAACATTAACGATCTTCGTAGTTAAAATTTTACATTTAAACATAACCTATAACTCTAATGTAAATGGGATCAAATATAGCCAAGACAACAGTATCTTTTTTACTTCCATGGTTAAAGTTTTTCCGCCATTATGGTACATAGTATATTATGATATGAATCGATGATTAGGAAGGATTAAAAATCCGAAAGAAAATGTGAAGATAGCGAGCAATACTTGACGAGAACGTATCGCGTTCCATGTTCTTGTGTTATTCGTTAAATCTCGTAAACAAAATGTGTGTCATCGTCGCGAGAAGTACATCTTAACGTCTAAGTGAAGTTAAATAGTATACCAAGAATGTACGTGCGTGTATTAGATTGATAAGCTGAGAAATTCAGAAATCCTTGTGTAATTTCTTTTTTCGGTCCTACATAACCTTCAAAAGTCTCTTTTACATTACAATAGACAAAATACAGGTAAATATCTACAAAAACTGTAGTCTTGTCTTTGGTTTCTATATATAGAGACATTTATGATTGTTCTTTTCGTCAGTAACAAATTTGTCCAATGTTTGTTGTAGGTGAAAATGTCAACGGAATACAGTAGAAGCGTTTTGAAAATGGCTGTTGCTCAGATTTGCCAAACAATCGGATGGCACTCTATCAATTCCACGCCGCTGGAGTTCATGGTCGATCTTATGCAAGAGTATATTCTACGGATATCAAAGCTTACGCATCAGTATGCAGAAATTTGTGAGTAGCAATTGTTGATTATTATATCGCGTAAGTTATATCAAACCTTGAGTAAGATATTGCAATGTTAATCAACTGATACGAGTTAAGTAGTCTATGACTTTTCAAGGGTCATCTGGGATTTATTTTGGTAACATTCGATTTATCCTTTCTGTAGATATATTTTTAATAAATATGGTAGACTATGGTATAATGTATTTAATATATTACGAATAGATTATATAGCATGTTATATGAAGATTACATTGTATCAAGAATGCCATTGCAATATTTTCAGTGTGTTGTAGCAATAAGCTTTTCAATATAATGCTCTTTATAATCTATTCAATTTAAGTCAAGATTCATCAGTACATTACTATAGACCTACATTTCATAACATATATCTTTCAATATAATATAAATACTTTTTACATAGGAAAGAACTTGATGATTTCTTCTTAAAAATATTCAGAAACACTTGCAATCAAGTCAAATTATTAATCCTGAAATTTACATATGAATAATAAAATCTATATATTTCTAATAATTGAAGAAAATAATTGGAGAAAAACTTGTGATATCAAATTATTAATCCTAAAATTTATGTATGAAAAATAATAATATAATACATTCCCAATAATTGAAGAGAAGCTTGCACTCAAATTAAATTATTAATCCTGAAATTTATGTATAAATTATAAAATCTATATGTTTCCAATAATTGATGTTAATATTTACCAATAGAACAAAAATATTAAAATAGCAGATAACATATTAGAAAGCTTCTTATGTTCACATATAAATTATATTAGTTTTTTCATTGTTTTAATTGTTGTAATTGTAACACTTTTTCAGTAGGGAGAACTGAAGCAAACCTTGATGACTTAGGTTTAGCTTTCCAGCACATGAACATTGATATACAAGAATTAACAGAGTACATAAAAAATGTAGAACCGGTTCCATATCCTATAGCTGTGCCCAAATTTCCAATTCAGCGTGAGAATCATTTGAACTTTCTCAAACCTGGGAGTCGAGAAGTAGTGACAAGGCCTGTGCACGTACATGAACACTTACCAGCCATGTACCCTGACACTGAAGGTATTTTACCATTTTGTACACGTTGGAAAGTATTGAACTTTAAAAGCCGTATATGGAATATAAATATTATTTGTAGGTTTTAAATCTTAATAGTTTTCAATTTGTTGTTATAAGTGTCAAATATAGAATTATTAATAATATTATCAAATTATTATTTCTGATTATTATAAATTTGATTAAATACGGAATTATGAAATTAAATATCAATTCTATTTGTATATAATATTACTTCATTATCTCATTCTCAAATTCTCATTTTCATTCCCATATTTGTACATATATAATATTGATACGTTACAAGGAACATAGAATACAGACAATTGCTTGTAAATAATCATTGCAATGCTACAGTCTCGTATAAAATAAATTAATGAATAATTAAATAATAAAAAGTGTAATAACGATGGTAAAGTAAGTTTTCTAGAAACAAAGTATGAAAATAAAATAACAGTTACTTGTTTGTATCATTAGTACTGTATCTTTCTTGTAAACAAAAATGCAATATTACATTATTACATACATAAAATAATATATAATGTTAAGTTAATACCTAGCATAGTATCAACTTTTATCAATAGTATCAATTTGAAATGAAACGAATCATTACCTTGCAGAAGAATACGTAATGGAGAAACCGGAAACCTTGATGAACGGATCATCCGATTTATCATCGAATGGAACATCAGCCAATAGTTCAATGAACTTGTCCCCTCAAAGAATGTCTCCACAAGTAGTTTTCAAGCGTCCAGGAGATCCTGTCTCTTTCGAGAGTCCCATTGTGAAGCGAGTGAAAGTATTAGAGGAAGGTAGACCTCTGCGTGAGATACATAGCGTAATGATGACCACTTCTGGTTTTTTATCCCCTGCTCGAGAAGGAAAGCTGCCTGAAGCGAGGACACCCCATCAGACTCGTTCAGATTCACCACAGCCTAGTTCCTATCCCATGGTGCCCCCTGAACTGAAGTATGACAAGAAACCGAAGAAGATTATGAAAAAAGGAGGATTGGAGGATGGCAAGGTGGACAAAGAAAACAAGAAGAAGAACCGTGCTAAAGAGTTATTCAAACCGAACAAGGTTGATGATAATAAAATTAAGAAACTGGCAGGTATGAAAGAATTGGCCAAATTGAAACCGTTGAAGCCAGGTGGAGGGAAATCTCAGTCACCAGCCTCTTCGAGCAGGCCTTCGACTCCCAAATTGTTAACTCCCAAGACAGCTGGAAGCCCAAAATTAGCAAAGAAAGCAGAACCAAAGATCAAAACAGAGAAAGTCGTCGACCTCACTGGTGGATCTCCTCCAACAGAGAGAAAAGAAGACAATATTGATAAACTTCCATCGGAACCAGATAAGCAGAAGCTGAATATATTCAAGAAGATCTCAAAGCCACGCGAGGATAAAGACAAGGACATGTCAGAGCAACACAAATACAAAGAATTGGATTCGAGAGAAAGTTCACCAGGCTTGATAATCGATGAGAATATTGAAAAGCAAGCAGTTCGCAACGATGCTGATGTAAAAGAAGAAAAGAAAGCTCCGCATACTCCTGATGTACATTTACAGCCAGATGGAGGAGAGTTGATCGACTTGCAGAGTCCAGGATCAGACGTTTACATGTTCGATGATATGTCTCCGCCGGGAACACCCAGTACGCCAAAGACTCCTGAGTTGAACATGCCTACTACACCTACGGACCACAAAAAGAAACGAAAAGAGAAGATAAGTAAGAAGAAGGAGGTCAAATCAAGAAGTCCAAAGCACTGCAGCAGCCCCAAAAAGGTGCGTTTTTGTTTCCGTAAACTATTTGATGACAATAATATAAGTGTACGTATCAACAGTAAGTGATTAATATTTTTCCAGACCAAGCTTTCCAACGATGTGGTAGAGTTGGATACAATGGACCGACCCAAGACTCCACAGGCCCCTGAACCCCAGTTTTCAAAGGAACCAAGTTTTCCGCCAACACTTCCATTCCC